TTTCCAACCATATCTTCACAAGTTGTCCTCGAAAACTGCGTCATCTTACTGAACGCTGCGAGTCGGGCTAAGAAGATACGCATACGGTTTGATTCAGCAGCACTCTCCCATCATACTTGTGAAGCTATAACTGCAGTCGATCAGTGATGACCATGCACTCTCGTAAGAACCTGATACCGTATCTTTCATGATACAACCTAGGATACTCACATCGGAAAGAATCGAATCTGCCATATTCTCCACTGGTCGCTTCCGCCTGTGGAAAGCCGCTGAAGTCAACGATCGTCCTCGGGACGGAGTAATCATCATACGTACCACTACTCGTGCTGGCCGAGGAGCTACCAAGAAGTCGCAGGTTCGATCCCCACACCCTGCATATTCTCACTTCAATTTCGACGGAAGCTCCACCCTCTTCACAGCGTCGAGATTGCTCATCGCCTCCGACCTCAACTCTGCGATCAACCCTCCTTTAGACGACATGTTCAGCTCTACCGGAGGTATCCGCGGCCCAGTAACCGCCATCGGGTCATACGTCCGATAATATTCTAACAACAGCTCATCCAATCAGTTAGTCACCGAGCCTCTTACCAAACGGCATGTCAATGATGATATTAGACTCTGCTGTATTCGAACAGTAAATGCCATGAACTGTAGAATGCTGCGGAGAGGAGTACCTGAAAAACCACATTCAAAAGCTCCTCAGTACGCGAGTAACTCACTGTGACCTACCAAATGTCGTCTCTCGACCAAGGCACCAAATTCGCTCCGCTCCGCCTCGCGAGCATTTGCAGGTCCGCATCGCCGTAGCGACCAAACGTCGGTATAAAGGCAATCACTTCTCGGCCGTCAAGCTTCGTCGTCACCAACTACAAACATCACAGAGTCATATCCTGAGCATATTAAACCACCAAAAGGAGGCGCTTCGATACAGAATCATTAAGTGCAGTAGAATAGTTCCTTCGAGAGAAATCGAAAAACACACCTTCTCTGCCGCTGCACCGACAGTACCCTATAATATCTCTCGAAAACAAGATTTGAAGAGTACCAGGTGAGCAGTGAATACTGTGACATACAAGCGATTATATATACTCAAAGACTCATACTCTACACGAGTCATCATCAGATGAAAATAGAAAATCCGCATCGGCTGGACATTCAATTTCAGCTTACTTCGAGATCTTCCGGTGCATCGTCATCACTGTTGAGAATCATCTTGAGCATCTTGGTCGCATTGAAGTGACAGTCGTTCGGGTTCGCGAACTGCAGCAATCCATCACGAAATCTAAAATGAAACACCCTTAGATGGATCCGACGACCTTCCGATACGAAACTCAGCCCGATACCACTACACCATCCACCCACAATTTTCTTACACGACCAGTCCTTCAGGCTCCCCCGCCTCCGCTCCACAGTTATACACTATCCTCCCCTCAGGTTCCGAGGCCATCGAAATGTAGTCCAAATACAACCCCACATACGAGCGATTGCTCGTTCCGTGGACATCGATGTAACTACACA